TAAATTGAAATCGATTTTAGAATACCCTTCTAATATATTTGCAGATCATTTCCATATCGCGGAATACTCCTGACTGTTTTAACTACTGCTAATGAACTTGGTCTTGATGAGTTGATTAATACTACGCAATTGTATTTAGTTAAAAATCATTCTTCCTGGATGCGTCGGAATTTTGCCAAAATCTATAAATTAAGTTTTGAAAGTGATAATATCAAAATTTTACAACAGTTTTGTAATAATATTATTGCTAAACATCCAAGTATTCTTTTTGATTCCGAAGACTTTACAAATCTCTCAGAAAATGCCTTAGTCGCACTTTTAAAATTAGACACCTTACAAATGGACGAAGGAAAATTTGGGATCAAGTCATTAGATGGGGGAATTGCTCAAAACCCTGACTTGAGTCTTGATCTTGCACAATGGTCTGATGCAAAATTTTTGACCTTAAAAACTACGCTTAAAAATTGGTTACCACATGTTCGGTATTTTCAAATTTCTAGCGAAGATATTATAAAAAAGTTATATCCATATCAGCAAATTCTTGATCCTAATTTGTGGAAAGACATTATGGTAAAACACATGGCTCCAAATATGGCCATCACTTCAACTATTTTACCACCGCGGGTAACCTCAACTACTAAATTGCCACCAAGAAATAATTTTATTGCAGCCTCAACAAGTAAGACTTATTGTTTTTGCTTTTGTTTTTACTAATTTTACGACTAATATGTTTTTATACATTATTGATTCGTGGAATAAAGATTATGAATCTCGACTACCTTTTAATCCTTATGTTTTATTCAGAGAAATGAAGCGGAAGATGCTTTGAATGGATCCCAGTTAAATGACTTTTTAAAGAATCTTTTACCATCTAATAAATTTAATTTGCGCATTGCCTTTGTCGGAGCTATTGTAACTCGCCTATATGGAATTAATGCAACACGTAACTTGACTAAAACTGAAAATGATATGATTGGTAATTTACGAATGTGTTTGGATACAATTAATTTATCGCCAGTTTATAAACAAATTGTGATAAAACTTTTGATTAATGAAGATCCTATGCTACGGATTAACCAAAACGTTGATTATAAAAATTTGTTGATTCGTTTAGTCATCATTCACATTCTTGCTGTTCACGCGTCATTTCCAGATAATTATTCGCCATTGACACTATATCTTCACAGACTGCAGGATGCTATAGGTACATACGTACTAACCTGCCAATATGATGAGGTCGCAATGATAATGTACGCCCTTAAGGAACTCACATGGTAAGTCAGCACTTTATTGCAAGTATTATCTGTTCTTATCCACTTAATTAAATTTATCATACATATAGGTATCAGTGTATATGTGGACATAAATATGTTGTTGGTGAATGTGGTACAACTATGGAGGTAGCAAAGTGTCCAGGAAATAATCGTGGTTACCAAATTGGAGGGAAAAATCATATAACAGCAATGTGTCAAACAAGATTAAGTAAAGATCAGGTACAAAAATTCACTGTTAATGGTGATCAAACTGGTTATATAATGGAAGCAGGCACATCAGAACGTGGCAAAAATGTTCGCGAAATGACTGCAGCATCATATCGAATCTTGCACCTTTTTATTCATGCTCTTATTGCCAACTCTGCACATTCACAAATATTCTTGAAAAATATTTTGGATCCTATTGCATATTGTTTGGATCATATCTCTAAAGACTGGGAAGTATTAAAAGCTCTTTTCAATTGTGATGACGAAGATTTGGCTTTAATTTTACATGATATGCTTCATTCGATCACACAAGATCCAATTCAAAATAATACTATATTAACGACACCAGATGGACGATTAAAGTGGGAACGTCAATTCACCGAACAATACATAAATAAAAGAGCCAAAAATCCTACCGCTACTGCGATGAATTTGCGTAACAAACTCCGGATGACTGAAGAAGAAAATCATTACTTTTTAAAAGAGAAAAAAGCGTTTTACGTTCTGAACATTAATATTTACAGAAACCTTAATGTTGTAAAACGTTTATAATCGTTATTTTTCATACGTTTTAATTTTTTATTTAGGTTATAATTTATATATGATGTATTAAATATGTCAATTCTGATAAATATTGTTATGTATTTCTATAAAATCAATTGTTATTTTTATGATAAGAAGAATGTGCCTAGTGAAAAGTGATTTGAATAAAATATATATTTTTTATATTTTTTTTAACTGAAAAATGCAGATGTGGGGCTTCGCTGCCCAGTTTAAATTGTTATAACATTATTTATGGAAAAAAATAACACTCACGTTACTACATAACGTTATATGTAGTTACTACATTCCCAAGTGAAGATGCAATAGATTAGGTTACGGAGTGTAATTTGTTTTAAGGAAAATGTTTAGCTTTGGATGAGAATATTTCTTTAGAACTAGATGTTCTCATATGCATTATATAGAGCCTGTAATTGATGGTGAACAGAATTGCATGTGATTTGTTTATTGCGATCCTCTATTCATCCCATATGTTCTGCCTTCTGTGTAAATAAAGTCATCTGGTTGTGCAATAATATCAGCAGACTTCGTAATGAATAAATGTCTTATGTTCATTCTTTTTAACACCAATTCCATATTCGTAGCAATAACCAATATTTCATCTGAATTACTCATATCACGCAATATATATGTTGTAAGTGGGGATAGAATTTAAGTGGATTTGAATTTATATATAAAAGCCCGTTTTGGGGTTGATTTTATCATGTGTACACCCTAACCCTAACGCTAAAAATTCCAAATCCACTTAAATTCCATTCCTACTTGCAACATATATATGATAAGAATTAATTTATTGAAATTTTTGATAAATAAGATTCTAAATTTATGCTAGACGCATCATGGGGTTGTCTGTTGACTGAGTAAATCAAAACTATTTATTCCCCGGTTCTTATTTACATACTATCTTTTCGCGTTTATTGACCAGATTTCAGATTCGGGCTGATCCGGAGTTTTTATATTTCTTTTTGATTATATATCCTTTTTTACTTTTTTAATGATATACAAAATTTTAAACTACTAACGTTAATGTTACTAACGAAAAGTAAAAGTTGTTGGTTAAAAAAAGAAAAGAAAAAAGTGGAAGGAAACGAAAGAAGTGTTATGATTGTAGAAAACTAAACTTTATGAAATGCGAAACTTTAATTTGATGAGATAGTATGGTAGAGCTTTTACCCGGATCAAAAAATAGCAACTCGGGTTAAAAGGGTTCGGGTCAGATGTTGTGACCCGGGTCAGATGTCATAGGAAGACTTTTGCATGATTGGCTGCTTAAATCAATTTAATTTTACATTATTTATACAGTTTAAGGTACTTTTTTAAAAAAAAAACTAAAACTACGAAGAATAAACAAAAAAGAAATACATAGAAAGTTTTATTAGGGTTGTAGGATTCCAGTATTAAAAATAATCAAAATCATTTCTGGTTTTAGAGAAGTTAGCATGGTAATAACCTAATTCTATCTATCTT